CGGGGCTCAGGCGGGCAGGTGAAGGCCGCCCTTCCCGGTGCCTTGGGAAGAGGGCTGTAGGCCGCCGAAGCCCGTCCCCCGCTGGGAGGCGGCTCTGCCTTCGGGCCCGGTTGCAGTAGCCGGGGCCGGGGCCGCCGCCGGGCTTCAGGGGCGACTCCGGGCGCGGGCCCGTGCTTTGGGGGAGTGCCACTGCAGCTGCCTCTGGCGTTTGTACGCGTTCTGCGGAGAGGGGCGGGGGTAGGGGGTCTGTAACTGCAAAATCAGCGTGGGTGTGAGTTCAGGAAGGTACCGGTGGGTGCATTTAGCGTGTTTTTCTGTGGAGAGGCTTAGGGTGCGCCTGCCGTAGTGCCTCTGTCTTGCCACCGGGCCTGAAGTGGCATGAGATCCGTCATATGTGGCACTCGCCCAGGATGGGAAGGTTGTGGGTGAAGCGTTGCGTTCACGTTATGTAATTCCTACAAATCTTCTCCCTCTCGTGTTTAGAGAAGACTAGGAAACACAAAGAAGCATGTCCTTGTTGTGGAGGTTTCACCTGCAGAAAAAATGACTTAATCTGTAGGTAGAGTAGTCAGGTAAAATGTGGCTTATGTACCTGAAGAAAATCAGAAAAGTACGATCAACTTCAGCAAATTGTCATTACTTAAAAAAAACCACAAACCAACAAACTCACAAAACTGCAACTGTAATTAGGAAATAAAAGGTATTTGGACTATAAGGTATCATAGAGAACATTTAACCATCAGTTGGTTTTGGGACAGCCTTTTTGAACGAATGTGGCTGACATAAACATGAGCCACTGATACAGTGAGCAAAGTGTTGACTTCACTGGGGCAAACTAGAAAAGGTGCTGAACTCCAAAACGCTCACTGTCATACTAAGGGGACAGTATTATACTGGGTTATATATGTACCCTTTTGCTCCATTCCTCTAAATCCTTCTTGGCCCCGTTGGTGGTGGCATCCTTTGTTTCGTGTGTGTTCCCATTTTTCCTAATGATACGAAGAGCATTCCTTGGGAGCTGAATTGGTCCATATGCAGTAACATGAGAAGAACTAGTAAAAAAACAGGCGTGGTGAAGGAGGGTAAATGGTTTCTTAATAATATTGTTCACTTAGAGAAAGATTTTCCTGTTATACTTTTTTGTATGTATATAAAAACAACATAATTTTCCATAAGTATTCATGGATTGAAATCACTATGAGAGAAGGGAATGCTGATTCTAGAGAGAAGAATAATTTTCTAGGTCAAACTTCTATGTTTAAATCATAGGTGGCCCTTTTTGTGAGACTTTGTTTTAAATAGAAGGCTAATTATACAATATAAATAGGATTATTATTTCAAATGCATGCTGCATGCAAAATAAAATAAAATGACTGAAACAGATAACTGACTTCTGTCCCTGTTTTTTGTTAGCCTTCTAGCAGTGGCCGAGCTGCAGAGCTCCTCGCCAAAGAACGTGGAACAGTGCCTGGGTTTATTGGCTTTGGAACATCTCAGAGTGATCTAGGATATGTTCCTGCAGTTCAAGGAGCAGAGGAAATAGACAGCCTTGTGGATGCTGATTTTCGAATGGTGTTGCGAAAACTTTCTAAAAGGGATATTACAACAAAATTAAAAGTAGGTATATTGTTTGTCCCCCATAATTTTTTTTTTTTATCAGAAAACAATACATTTTTCTTAAGGATGGGAGAAGAATATATCAAGGTAGCTAATATTAATTTCATGCTGGTAAATTTGCTACAACTGCAATGTAGAAGGTATCTTGGAGGACTTATAAAAAGGTCCATCACACACTGCTGATGGAGCATTCATAAAATTAACTCTATAGGTGCTCCATTGCAAGAAATGAATTGATTTTTGAAAAAGAGAGTTGCAATGTCTGGTAGAAGCTGGTAAATTACAGAACATATATATCTGACTTCTTAAATCATGCTCTTGATGTCTTGATTTTAGGCTATGCAAGAGTTTGGGACAATGTGCAAGGAAAGAGAAGCGGAAGTTGTTAAAGGTGTTCTTCCTTACTGGCCAAGAATTTATTGTAAAATCTCACTAGTAAGTATTAAAGTATCTAAATTAAAAACTTCTCTGGATACTTCCTGTGAAAACCTCTAAGGCAGTCTTTATTGATATATCTAACTGTTGGAATTACTGACTTGTTCTAGAAAAAACATAAAGTTGAAGAAAAGTAGTGTTCTTTATTGTGGAGATGTTTCAGTAATGGCAGTGAGTGGAATCTTGAACTGTTGATGCCTGGGCTGTACTTGCTGGATGGAGATAGCTGTTTGTTAGACCTTTATGTTAAAAAGATGACAAGATATTTCTTCTCATGAAAAGTTCTTTTATGTGGATTCCAGAACGGCTAAAGAGAATGTACTGTTCAGTTAACATAATTATATATCTTTTTGCTCTAGGGGGCTAACTCTTTTTTTTTTTCTTTCCTTTTTTTTTTCTTTATCAGGATCATGATCGCCGTGTGCGAGAAGCAACACAGCAGTCTTTTGAGCAGCTGATTCTTAAAGTAAAGAAACACTTAGCTCCTTACTTAAAAAGTATCATGGGATACTGGCTGATCGCGCAATGTGACACTTACTCCCCTGCTGCTTCTGCTGCAAAAATAGCTTTTGAAAAAGCTTTCCCTTCAAGCAAACAACCTGAAGCCTTAGCATTCTGTAAAGATGAAATTCTTAATGTGAGTTCATACTTAAGTATTTCTTTAAGGCTTTGTGTTGAGTATATGTCAACTTTTATTACAAGTTTAAAACTCATCCTGCCCCCATCTGTTCCTCGTGGTTAAATTTCGTTCTCACCTGAAACTTTGCTCCTGCTAATGTGAAGAGAAGACTGGGGCAAAGACACACCCTCTGTTTTTTTCATTTGCGGTTAGAATGACTGGAATCAGAGGAATGAATATGAAGTGAATTTTCTTGTATGCATTTCTATGTAATGATGCTCAGTCATTACGTAATGTTGCTGACAGATGGAATAATGATGCTGGAGTAGTTTACCTGCAGTGGTAGAGGATTAAAGAATGCTGAGCAGTGTTTCAGAGAGCCTCTACAAGTTTAGTTCTGACCAAGGTTAGTGCTCTTCTGCCAGTCATATATGAAACTGAATTGACTGAATTTAAAAAGGTGAAAGTTTGCGTTGCTGGCCCATCATATACAAACTTAACCATTTTGTTTTGTCTCAGTTTGGCTTCTTTTTGCCAGAAGCCTGTTGTCATAGGACTGCAACTTACACAGTATTATGAAGTCTTGATTCAAACAGTACCACAGCTACTATGTTCAG